GGGTATCTGCATAGAAGTAGCCTGACCATTGTTGCCTGGAGGCACCCCCTGTGGAATGATGTCCAGGGTGGGAGAAAGAACCCTTGTGTGTTTGAAATGAGTGTGAACGTATATTATTTATTTATTATTTATCCTATTTATACCCCAAGGGAGACTCAAGACGGCTTGAATTAGCAAGCTTGAGTAGCATTGAGTACACTTGCAGCTGCAAAGTCAGTCAGTGAGGGTATCTGCATAGAGGTAGCTTGACCATTGTTGCCTGGAGGCACCCTCTGTGGAATGATGTCCAGGGTGGGAGAAAGAACCCTTGTGTGTTTGAAGCGAGTGTAAATGTTGCAATTATTTGTTTATTATTTACCCTATTTATACCCCAAGAGGGACTCAAGACAGCTTGAATAGCATTGAGTAGCCTTGCAGGTGCAAAGTCAATCAGTGAGTTTTGCAATTATTTCTTTATTATTTATCCTATTTATACCCCAAGGGGGACTCAAGACGGCTTGAATTAGCAAGCTTGAATAGCATTGAGTAGCCTTGCAGCTGCAAAGTCAATCAGTGAGGGTATCTGCATAGAGTTAGCTTGACCATTGTTGCCTGGAGGCATCCTCTGTGGAATTTTGTCCAGGGTGGGAGAAAAAACCCTTGTGTGTTTGAAATGAGTGGTGAATGTATATTATTTATTTATTATTTACCCTATTTATACCCCAAGAGGGACTCAAGATGGCTTGAATTGGCAAGCTTGAATAGCATTGAGTAGCCTTGCAGCTGCAAAGTCAATCCGTGAGTGTATCTGCAGAGAGGTAGCCTGGCTGTTGTTGTCTGGAGGTGCCCTCAGTGCAACTCAGTTGCCGATTTGTTAGCCGTTCTAAGTCCCTCTGCAGAGGTTGAGATAGGACAGGATATAAAAGCCTGAAATAATAATAATAATAATAATAATAATAATAATAGTAATAATAATAATAATAATAATATACATCACACAGTCCTAAACGCTTGGGAAGTGTTCGACTTGTGATTTTGTGATACGAAATCCAGCATATAGATCTCGTTTACTGTGACATACTGTGCTTTTGTGTCAACAACAACAACAACAACAATAAAGCTTCCTAATTGCATCATTCACGCTTGCCTTTTGCTCCCACCCTGGACATTATTCCACTTGCCTCATTCCCACAGACCTCTGAGCAAACCTCTGGGGATTGCAGCCACAGATGTGGGCGAAACGTCAGGAGAGAATGCTTCTGGAACATGGCCAGACAGCCCGGAAAACTCACAGCAAGCAACCCAGTAATTCCGGCCATGCAAGCCTTCGACAGCGCAGTATATTCATTGTGTTTCCTTGGCCTAACAAATTGGAAATACAACAACAACAACAACAACAACAACAACAACAACAACAACAACAATGGAAGCTCCCCTTGGGATTGTATCTGCACAACATTCCTGCGAGGCAGGACTGATGGTTTTGAGGTTGGATAGGGAGGTTCTCTTTGCAAACAAAGGAAAGTTTAATGTTTTCCGATCAAAGTCCAACTGCAACACTGGCTCCTTTGTGTTCCATAGACGAAGGTCTTCCCTCCCATTCTTTGGAAAACATAGTTTTGCCAAGCTGGGTAAAGTTTCCTGGTGGGAATTATTTGCAAGGCCGCTGTTCCTTATAGAGAAGGGATGGTTTGATTAGTTTGTATTTAGGATGGATGCACTTTAGCATGGCTAGATGCAGACTGAATCCTGGAAATTGTAGTTTTACAAGGTCTCTGTGCAAACCGAATCCTGGAGATTGTAGTTTTACAAGGTCTTTGCACAAACCAAATCCTGGGAATTGTAGTTTTACAAGGTCTCTGTGCAAACTGAATTCTGGGAATTGTAGTTTTACAAGGTCTCTGTGCAAACTGAATTCTGGGAATTGTAGTTTTACAAGATCTCTCTGTGCAAACCGAATCCTGGGAATTGTAGTTTGCATTTAGGATGGATGCACTTTAGCACGGCTAGATGCAAGGTCTCTGTACAAACTGAATCCTGGGAATTGTAGTTTTACAAGGTCTCTCTGTGCAAACCGAATCCTGGGAATTGCAGTTTTACAAGGTCTTTGCGCAAACCGAATCCTGGGAATTGTAGTTTTACAAAGTCTCTCTGTGCAAACCGAATCCTGGGAATTGTAGTTTTACAAGGTGTCTCTGTGCAAACCGAATCCCGGGAATTGTAGTTTTACAAGGTCTCTGTGCAAACCGAATCCTGGGAATTGTAGTTTGCATTTAGGATGGATGCACTTTAGCACGGCTAGATGCAAGGTCTCTGTACAAACTGAATCCTGGGAATTGTAGTTTTACCCAGGTCTCTGTGCAAACTGAATCCTGGGAATTGTGGTTTTACAAGGTCTCTGTGCAAACCGAATCCCGGGAATTGTAGTTTTACAAGGTCTCTGTGCAAACCGCAACTCCCAGCATTGCATTGCATTGAGCCGTGGCAGTTAAACGTGGTGCCAAACTGCATTAATCCTGCAATGTAGATGCACCCAAGCAGACATTTCCTCTCCTGCTACCTGTCTACCGCAATCCGTAAAAGGCTTCTGGGCAATGCAAGCAGACGGCCGGGAAAATCCTCTCCTCTCGTTTCTGCCAAAACGCATTTTTCTCTCGAGCTGCGTTTTGGGCCTCGGGCGACTTGATGCGTTGCAGACTTCCCAGCCAGATGCAATTCCTGCGTCAGGACAAGCAGACTTGTGCTTTCCATGCGACAGGAGTCAGAAGGCTTTGGCTGCAAATAAATGCAGAAGGAATGCGTTCATGGCACCACAGCTCAATGCAACACAATCCTGGAAGTTGTAGTTTTACTAAGGATGCACCTGTGCTATAGAATGAATGCAGTTTGATGCACTCGAACTGCCATGGTTCAATGCAATGGAATCCTGGGAGATGCAGTTTTACCAAGGATGTGTCGACACTTTGGCTCGCTTGAAGAGTCATGGCTCAGTGCTATGGAATCCTGGGATTTGTAGTTTCACTAAAGGCACATCGATGCTATATAACAAATGCAGTTTGGCCTACTTGAACTGTTATGACTCAATGTGATGGCATCCTGGGACTTGTAGTTCATTAAGGCCATATCTAGACATAGAAGGAGTGTAGCTTGAACATTGAATACTATGGCTCAGTGCTTTGGAATCCTGGGAGTTGTAGTTTTGCTAAGGACACACTTACTCTAGAGAATCAATGCAGTTTGGCCCACTCAACCTGCCGTGTCCCAATGCTATGGAATCCTGGGATTTGTAGTTTCACTAAAGGCACATCGATGCTGCATAACAAATGCAGTTTGGCCCACTCTAACTGCTATGATACAATGTGATGGCATCCTGGGATTTGTTGTTTACTAAGGCTATATCTATGACATAAAGGAGTGTATCTTGCACTTTGAGTGCTATGGCTCAATGCTGTGGAATCCTGGGATTTATAGTTTCACTAAAGGCACATTGATGCTATATAACGAATACAGTTTGGCCCACTTGAACTGCTTTGACTCAATGTGATGGCATCCTGGGACTTGTAGTTTACTAAAGCCATATCTATGACATCGAAGGAGTGTAGCTTGCACTTTGAGTGGAATCTTGGGAGTTGTAGTTTTAATAAGGAGACACTTACTCTAGAGAATCAATGCAGTTAGGTCCACTCAACCTGCCATGGCCCAATGCTATGGAATCCTGGGAGTTGCAGTTTTACTAAGGACACATTTACTCTAGAGAATAAATGCAATTTGGCCCACTCAACCTGCCGTGGCCCAATGCTATGGAATCCTGGAATATGTAGTTTCACTAAAGGCACATCAATGCTATATAACAAATGCAGTTTGGCCCACTTGAACTGCTATGACTCAATGTGATGGCATCCTGGGAGTTGTAGTTTACTAAGGACACATCTGTGCTGTAGAAGGGATGTAGCTTGATTGCACTTTGGCTGCTATGACTGGATACCTGGGAGTTTTAGCAAATTGATGCTTCTGTCTGATGCTTTGTCCTATGTTGATATAATTTATTTGTTTGGTTATGTTTTATCTTAATTTTAGATGTTAAGCCATAATTTGTTTTATTTGTTAGGTTGGTTTTGTTGTTGTTGTTGTTGTTTGCTATTATGTATTTTGTTTTATCATATCAGGAGCGAACCAAGGGTACAGTTGTAATGTATTTTTTTTAATAAAAAAAAACAAAAAGTTTGCAAACTTGGCATTATATTAAATGTCCCTTGACCAGTCTCTGGCCACTTGGAGTGCCTCCGATGTTGCTGCAAAGAGGTCCTCCTTTGTGCATGTGGCAGGGCTCAGGGTGCGTTGCAGCAGGTGGTCAGTGGTTTGCTCTTCTCCACATTCGCATGTCGAGGATTCCACTTTGCGGCCCCATTTCTTGAGGTTGGCTCTGCATCTCGTGGTGCCAGAGCGCAGCCTGTTCAGCGCCTTCCAAGTTGCCCAGTCTTCTGTATACCCAGGGGGGAGTCTCTCGTTTGGTATCAGCCATTGGTTGATGTTCTGGGTTTGAGCCTGCCACTTTTGGACTCTCGCTTGCTGGGGTGTTCCAGCGAGTGTCTCTGTAGATCTTAGAAAACTATTTCTTGATTTAAGTCGTTGACGTGCTGGCTGATACCCAAACAGAGGATGAGCTGGAGATGTCTCTGCCTTGGTCCTTTCACTATTGGTTGCTACTTCCCAGCGGATGTCAGGTGGTGCAATACCGGCTAAACTGTGTAATTTCTCCAGTGCAGGGTGTAGACATCCTGTGATAATGTGGCATGTCCCATTAAGAGGCACATCCACTGTTTTAACATGGTGGGATGTGCTCCACACTTGCCACACGTGCTCAGCATCAGAGTGTCAAAGTGCAAGGGCAGATGCCTTCACTGTGTCTGGTTGTGATCCCCAGGTTGTGCCATTATTATTATTATTCTGTTTATAAAGTCCGTTTTGAGCCTCACTCTTTCCTCCTGTTGCCTCCCTTTCTGCCTTCCTTTGCTTCCTAGTGAGTCAGTACTTTGCACGACTCGAGCCACGGTGATGCTCTACGATGACGCCAACAAGAAATGGGTGCCGGCTGGAACTGGACCACAGGTCTTTAGCCGCGTCCAGATCTACCACAGTCCGGCCAACAACACTTTCCGGGTCGTGGGACGCAAGATGCAGCCAGACCAACAGGTAGCCCTCTCTCCAATATATCCATCCATCAAGCCTTCCATTCAGCTATCCATCCATCCATCCATCCATCCATCCATCCATCCATCCATCCATCCATCCACTCTGTCTATCTATCTATCTATCTATCTATCTATCTATCTTATCTATCTATCTATCTATCTATATCTACTTGGTCTGTCTACTCTATCTATCTACTGTATCTATCAACTTGCTCTATCTACCTGCCTACGGTATCTACCTACTTACCCTATCTATCTATCATCTATCTATCTATCTGTCTATCTATCTATCTATCTATCTATCTATCTATCTATCTATCTATCTATCTATCTATCTATCTATCTATCTATCTATCTATCTATCTATCTAGCTACTTGATCTACCTACCTACCTACCTATCTACTGTAGATAGACAGACAGATAGATCAACTAGATAGGTAGGTAGGTACCTACCTATCTAGTTGATCTATCTGTCTATCTATCTACTCGATCTGGCCACTCTGTCTATCTACTGTAACTATTTACTTGATCTATCTACCTACCTACTGTATCTATCTACTCTACCTACCTACCTATCTACTCGATCTGGCCACTCTGTCTATCTACTGTATCTATCTACTTGATCTATCTATCTACCTACCTACTGTATCTACCTACCTACCTACTCCATCTATCTATCTATCTATCTATTTGATCTGGCCACTTTATCTATCTACTGTGACTATCTACTTGATCTATCTTCCTACCTACTGTATCTATCTACCTACCTACCTACTCGGTCTATCTCTATCTCTATCTATGTATCTACTCGATCTGGCCACTCTATCTATCTACTGTAACTATCTACTTGATCTACCTAACTACCTACTGTATCTACCTACCTACCTACCGATTTATCTATCTATCTATCTATCTATCTATCTATCTATCTATCTACTCGATCTAGCCACTCTATCTATCTACTGTAACTATCTACTTGATCTATCTTCCTGCCTACTGTATCTACCTATCTACCTACCGATTTACTCTATCTATCTACTCGATCTAGCCACTCTATCTATCTACTGTAACTATCTACTTGATCTATCTTCCTGCCTACTGTATCTACCTATCTACCTACCGATTTACTCTATCTATCTACTCGATCTAGCCACTCTATCTATCTACTGTAACTATCTACTTGATCTACCTAACTACCTACTGTATCTACCTACCTACCTACCGATTTACTCTATCTATCTATCTATCTATCTATCTATCTATCTATCTATCTATCTATCTACTCGATCTAGCCACTCTATCTACTGTATCTATCTACTTGATCTATCTATTTGATCTATCTATCTACTTGATCTGTCTATCTATTGTATCTATCTCCTGTTTATATACTCTATCTATCTCTTCTATCTATCTATCTATCTATCTATCTATCTATTCTATCTATCTGCCTTATCATCTATCTATATATCTATTTGTCTAACTAAGTTAATTGGTGCCAAACCGCCTTAATTCTGCCGTGCAGATGCACCCTGAGTTTGACTCCTGCGCCCTTTCTCTTCCCAAAGGTGGTCATCAACAGTCCGATCGTGAAAGGGCTGAAGTACAACCAGGCCACGCCCAACTTCCACCAGTGGCGCGATGCCCGCCAGGTTTGGGGGCTCAACTTTGGCAGCAAAGAGGACGCCGGGCAATTTGCCGGAGGGATGATGCACGCCCTGGAGATGCTGGATTCAGGTGAGTAAGGTTCCAGTCTTGGGGAAACTACAACTCCCAAGTCCTAGAAAACAAATGGAGCAGATTTGTTTCGGGGAGTTTGTCGAGGTCTCATTCTCTGGAGGCTTTTCAAACAGGGGCAGGATGGCCATCTGTCGGGAGGGCTCTGATTGTGTCTTTCTCCCTGGCAGAATGGTGTTGAACTAGATGGCCTTTGGGGGTCCGCTCCAAATCTATGGAAATGTAGATTGGGTTGCTGTGACTTTTGCGAGCTGTATGGCCATGCTCCAGTGGCATTCTCTCCTGATGTTTTGCCTGCATCTCTGGCTAATGGCATCTTTGGAGGTTCTGTTGGCAGTGAAGCAAATGGAGTGTGAATATATCCCTGTGAAATAATGCCCAGGGTGAGAGAAAGAACCCATGTCTATTTGAAGCAAGTGTAAATGTTGCAATTAGCAAGTCTGATTAGTATAGAGCAGCCTTGCAGCTGCAAAACCAATCAGTGAGGGTATCGGCATGGAGGTAACTTGGCTGTTGTTGCCTGGAGGCATCCTCTGATTGGGAAGTGTTCACTGGCACTTGATTGCTTGTTGTCTGGAGTTCTCCTGTTATAAAAGAAAGTGTGGATGTTTCAATTAGCAAGTTTGAAAAGCATTGAAAAGTCAATCAGTGAGGGTCTCTGCATAGAGGTAGCCTGGCTGTTGTTGCCTGGAGGCATCCTCTGATTGGGAAGTGTTCACTGACACTTGATTGCTTGCTGTCTGGAGTTCCCCTGTTATAAAAGAAAGTGTGGATGTTGCAATTAGCAAGTCTGAATATCATTGAGTGTCCCATGAAGCTGCAAAGTCAATCAGTGAGGGTATCGGCATGGAGGTAGCTTGGCTGTTGTTGCCTGGAGGCATCCTCTGATTGGGAGGTGTTCACTGGCACTTGATTGCTTGCTGTCTGGAGTATGGCTGAGAAAGGCAGGCTATAAATATTGTAAGTAAAAAAGTAAGTAAAGTAAGTCAATCAGTGAGGGTATCGGCATGGAGGTAGCTTGGCAGTTGTTGCCTGGAGGCATCTTCTGTTTGGGAGGTGTTCACTGACACTTGATTGCTTGCTGTCTGGATTTCCCCTGTTATAAAAGAAAGTGTGAATGCTGCAATTAGCAACTTTGAAGAGCATTGAGTGGCCCATGAAGCTGCAAAGTCAATCAGTGAGGGTATTGTGGCATGGATGCTTTGGACATAGGTTTGATGCCCCGAAGCAAATTCCTTTCTGGGGAAATGGACAGACTTCGCCTGTTTTTGGAAGGAAAGGGGGGCCAACAAGGCTTTCCATTCTTGTGCAAACGTGTCCAGAAAAACCTGTTTTTTGTCTCTTTTGCCCTTTTTAGGGAATTCGGCACCAGCACGGCCTGTCCAGAATGGCCCCACTGCAGACGAAATGGCCGAGCAACAGAAAAGGTACCTGGTACTGCTCTAGGCCCAATCATCCAGATCCACCATCCTTATCGTGACCTAGAACGAATGCAGTTTGGCACCCCTTGAACTGCCATGGCTCAATTCTATGGAATCCTGGGAATTGTAGTTTTAGTAAAGGGGAATCTATACTGCAGATTCCTGTGGCCCAATGCTATGGACTCCTGGGAACTGTAGTTTTACTAAGAACACATCTACTCTGGAGAATAAATGGAGTTTGGCCCACAAACTCCCATGTCTTAATGCTATGATATCCTGGGAGCTGTAGTTTTACTAAGGACACACCTATTCCAGAGAATAAATGGAGTTTGGCCCACTCGAACTGCCATGGCTCCATTCTATGGGATCCTGGGAGCTGTAGTTTTACTAAGAACACATCTACTCCCGAGAATAAATGCAGTTTGACCCACAAACTCCCATGTCTTAATGCTATGAAATCCTGGGAGCAGTAGTTTTAGTAAGGACACACCTACTCCAGAGAATAAACTGCCGTGGCTCCATTCTATGGGATCCTGGGAGCTGTAGTTTCTTTAGAGGTGCATCTTCACTGTAGACTACTATGACACAATGCTATTGTATCCTGGAAGCTATAGTTTTAGTAAGGGTGCATCTACACTGTAGACTGCTGTGGCCCAATGCTATGGTATCCTGGGAGCCAGAGTTTTACTAAGGACACATCTAATCCAGAGAATAAATGCAGTTTGGCCCACTCGAATTGACATGGCTCCATGCTATGGGATCCTGGGAGCTGTAGTTTTACCAAGGACTCCAGAGACTGATCAAACAGCTGTAGCTCAATGCTATGGAAACCTGGGAGCTGTAGTTTTACTAAGGGTACACCTACTCTAGAGAATAAATGCACTTTGGCCCACTCAAACCACCATGGCTCCATATTTGGGATCCTGGGAGATGTAGTTTTACTAAGGACACATCTACTCCAGAGAATAAATGCAGTTTGACCCACTTGAACTGCTATGGCTCAATGCTATGGAATCCTGGGAGCTGTAGTTTTACTAAGGACACATCTACTCCGGAGAATGAATGCCAATCAAACAGCTGTAGCTCAGTGCTATGGAATCCTGGGAGCTGTAGTTTTACTAAGAACACAACTACACCAGAGAACTACCATGGCCTAAGGCTATGGAATCCTGGGAGCGGTAGTTTTACTAAGGACACATCTACTCCAGAGAATAAATGCAGTGTGGCCCACTCGAACTGCCTTGGCTCCATGCTATGGGATCCTGGGAGCTGTAGTTTCACTAGGGGTGCATCTTCACTGTAGACTACTATGACACAATGCTATTGAATCCTGGAAGCTATAGTTTTAGGAAAAGCGCATCTACAGTGCAGTGGCCCAATGCTATGGAATCCTGGGAGCTGTAGTTTTACTAAGAACACATCTACACCGGAGAACTGCCATGGCTTAAGATTATGGAATCTTGGGAGCTGTAGTTTTACTAAGGACATATCTACTCCAGAGAATAAATGTAGTTTGTCCCACTTGAACTTCCATGGCTCAATGCTATGGGATCCTGGGAGCTGTAGTTTTACTAGGGGTGCATCTACACAGTAGACTACCATGACACAATGCTATCGAATCCTGGGAATTATAGTTTTAGTAAGGGTGCATCTACACTGTAGACTGCTGTGGCTCAAGGCTATGGAATCCTTGGAGCTGTAGTTTTATTAAGGACACATCTACTCCAGAGAATAAATGCAGTTTGCCCCACTTGAACTGCTATGGCTCAAGGCTATGGAATCCTAGGAACTGTAGATTTACTAAGTACACATCTACTCCAGAGAATGCCGATCAAACAGCTGTAGCTCAATGCTGTAGAATCCTGGGAGCTGTAGTTTCACTAAGCGGTAGTTTTACTAAGGACACATCTACTCCAGAGAATAAATGCAGTCTGGACCATGGCTCAATGCTATGGAATCCTGGGAGTTGTAGTTTAGTAAGGGTGCATTCCTACCGGCTGTTAGGAATGGTGGGAGTTGAAGTCCAAGTTGGCCCGTGCCTGGTGCAGATGCACCCTTAGCTTGACTGGGTGTTGTTGCTCCTCCTCCTCCGCAACACGCAAACAACGCTGCGGCCTCCCCGTTGGCCCCTCGGCAGCGAAGGGCACGGTCGGCTTAGCGCCTGATCCCCTAATCCGCTTGGAGGGTCAAGGGGGTCAGCTCCGTCCTGGGCTCCCAGTTGAGTGCCAGTCGCTCACCTGCTGCAGATCCCCTTTCACCCTTCCACTTCTCTCTCCTCCCCATATTCTGCAATGTGTGGCTTTGCTGTGTCCGGCATCCTTCCCGAGCCCCCTCCCCCCAAGTGAGTGGGGATGATGGGAGGGAGGGCCCTCAGGATGGAGGGGATGATGGGGTTTGTTCCTCGGAAGTCACGTCTCTCCCCTTTTTGTCCTTTCGATCCAGGCAGCAGTTGGAGAGGGAACAGCAGGAGCAAGGAGAGAGGGAACGCAGGGTCACCATCGCAGGTAAGCTCAGGGGGATAGCCCACTTTTGGGGGGTCTTCTGTGCTTTGCTTCCTCATTATTTGGCCTTTTGGGGGGGGGGAAAGAATTTTTCTTTGCTCCCCTCAATGGATTAGTGGTGAATGGTTTCCGATGCTAACGGTCATTCGGTTGCCTTGCGATTGCAATATTTTCATTCCTGATTATTCTATGTGCTTTTTGGTGTTGTTTGTTTTTACACACCATTTGGTTAAGAGTTGAATAGATAGATAGATGGATGGATGGATGGGAGGGCGGGCGGACGGACGGACGGGCAGGCAGACAGACAGATAGATAGAGAGAGGGCGGATGGATGGATGGATAGGTAGGCAGGCAGGTAGGTAGATAGATAGAGGGGTGGGTGAATGGATGGATAGAGGGATAGATAGAGGGATAGAGGGATGGATAATTGGAGGGATGGATGATTGGAGGGATGGATGAATAGATAGATAGATAGATAGATAGATGGATGGATGGATGGAGGGAGGGAGGGAGGGAGGGAGGGAGGGAGGGAGGGAGGGAGGGAGGGGAGGGAGGGCAGGCAGACAGACAGACAGACAGATAGATAGATAGGAGAGGGCGGATGGATGGATGGATGGATGGATGGGTAGGTAGGTAGGTAGGTAGATAGATAGATAGATAGATAGATAGATAGATAGATAGATAGAGGGGTGGATGGATGGATAGAGGGATAGATAGAGGGATAGAGGGATGGATAATTGGAGGGATGGATGATTGGAGGGATGGATGAATAGATAGATAGATAGATAGATAGATAGATAGATAGATAGATAGATAGAGATGGAGGAAGGAAGGAAGGAGGGGAGGGCGGGAGGGAGGGAGGGAGGGAGGGAGGGAGGGAGGGAGGGAGGAGGGGAGGCAGGCGGGCAGACAGACAGACAGACAGACAGACAGACAGATAGGAGAGGGCGGATGGATGGATGGATGGATGGATGGGTAGGTAGGTAGGTAGGTAGGTAGATAGATAGATAGATAGATAGATAGATAGATAGATAGATAGAGGGGTGGATGGATGGATAGAGGGATAGATAGAGGGATAGAGGGATGGATAATTGGAGGGATGGATGATTGGAGAGGATGGATGAATAGATAGATAGATAGATAGATAGATAGATAGATAGATAGATAGATAGATAGATGATGGATGGAGGGAGGGAGGGACAGATAGATAGAGGGGCGGGCGGATGGATAGATAGACACAGACAGACAGACAGATAGATAGATAGAGGGGTGGAAGGAAGGAAGGATGGATGGATGGATGGATGGATGGATGGATGGATAGAAGGATGGATGGAAGGAAGGAAGGATGGATGGATGGATAGAGAGATATAGAGATAGAGGGGTGGATGGATGGATGGATGGATGGATGGAGAGAGAGAGAGAGAGAGAGAGATAGGAAAATGGATGGATAGAGATAGATAGATAGATAGATAGATAGATAGATAGATAGATAGATAGGCAGGCGGATGGACGGACAGACAGATAGATAGGTAGGATATGTGATAGAATGTAAAATGGACAGACAGATAGATAGATTGGATAGATGGGTAGACGGATGGAGAGATATACATAGAGATGGAGAGATACGTAGATAGATGGATTGATCAATTAATAGGAAGGATGTAAGGAAGGTAGGTAAAAAGATTTTATTTATTATTATTTGCTTTATTTCTATACCGCATTTTTCAGCCCAAACAGGCGACTCAATGCGGTTAAGATTGATAGATAGATCAGATGGATAGATAGATGGATGGATAGATGGAGGGATAGAGGTGTGTGGATGGACTGATGGTTGGATAAGATAGATAGGTGGATGAATAGATGGATGGATAGATAGAGAGATAGAGAGATTAATAGATTAGCTAGCTAGCTAGCTAGCTAACTAGATATCCATCTATCTATCAATTTTGAAGTGTCTGCAAATGCTTGGGCAGTATATATAATATATAATAGAGAGAGTGGGATGGTGGGTAGATGGATGGATGGATGGATGGATGGATGGATGGATAGATAGATAGATAGATAGATAGATAGATAGATAGATAGATAGATAGATAGATAGATAGAGGGATAGATAGATGGATAGATCGATAGATGGAGGGAGGGAGGGATTGATAGGTGCATAGGTGACAGATAGATAGATATCTTTCCATCTATATATCTGTTTTGAAGAGGCTGCAAATGCTTGGGCAATATATATAATATAACATAACAATATAATATATAGAGAGAGGGCGGATGGATGGATGGATGGATGGATGGATAGATAGATAGATAGATAGATAGATAGATAGATAGATAGATATAGATAGGTGGCTGGATAGATAGATTAATAGAATAGATAGATAGATAGATAGATAGATAGATAGATAGATAGATAGGGGAGGGAGGGAGTCAGGGAGGGACAGAGGGGTGGGTGGGTGGGTGGGTGGGTGGGTAGATAGATAGATAGATAGATAGATAGATAGATAGATAGATAGATAGATCAAGGGAGGGAGGGAGTGACAGAGGGGTGGATGGATGGATGGATGGCAAGATAGATAGATAGATAGATAGATAGATAGATAGATAGATAGATAGATAGATAGATAGGGGAGGGAGGGAGTCAGGGAGGGACAGAGGGGTGGGTGGGTGGGTGGGTGGGTGGGTGGATGGATAGATAGATAGGATGGATAGATAGATAGATAGATAGATAGATAGATAGATAGATAGATAGATAGATCAAGGGAGGGAGGGAGTGACAGAGGGGTGGATGGATGGATGGATGGCAAGATAGATAGATAGATAGATAGATAGATAGATAGATAGAATAGATAGATAGATAGATAGATAGGGGAGGGAGGGAGTCAGGGAGGGACAGAGGGGTGGGTGGGTGGGTGGGTGGGTGGGGATAGATAGATAGATAGATAGATAGATCAAGGGAGGGAGGGAGTGACAGAGGGGTGGATGGATGGATGGATGGCAAGATAGATAGATAGATAGATAGATAGATAGATAGATAGATAGATAGATAGATAGATAGATAGATAGATAGATAGGGGAGGGAGGGAGTCAGGGAGGGACAGAGGGGTGGGTGGGTGGGTGGGTGGGTGGATAGATAGATAGATAGATAGATAGATCAAGGGAGGGAGGGAGTGACAGAGGGGTGGATGGATGGATGGATGGCAAGATAGATAGATAGATAGATAGATAGATAGATAGATAGATAGATAGATACTGTTAGATACACAGATACTATTAGATAGATAGATAGATAGATAGATGATAGATAGATAGATAGATAGATAGATAGATAGATAGATAGATAGATAGATAGATGTATTTCTGTGTGTACAGTATTTCATCCAAGCACTTGCAGCCTCTTCTTAACTCTCTCAGCAAATGCAGCCGGCTCACCTAGGAGAACTTGAACAACAAACAATGAAGGATTAGCCATGGAGTGGGGATTACCGTAGCTGAGGCGGGGATTGGGGAGCCTTCCGCGAATCCAAAATCCGCGTGTCCCAGCAGCCAGGGTACCTCTGAGGTGCCTGTTGGTCCCCTTCTGTGCCTGACTTGCCTCTCTCTCTCTCTCTCTCTCTCGCAGCCACTCCAGTCACCCCTTCGGCAGCAGGACCCCCACCTCCGCCGGGCCCCCCTCCGGCACCGCCATGCCCACCGCCCGGCCCTCCGTTGACGGGGCCCTCAGGTCCGCCTCCCCCTCCGGGGCCCCCTCCGCCCCCCGGGCCTCCACCGGCCCCCCCGCTGGCTGCTTCAGGAGGGGGTCCGCCCCCTGCACCGCCCCTCCCGCCCCCCCAGGGGCCGCCAAAAGGGGCCGGGGCCCCCACCGGATTGGCCGAGGCCCTCGCCGGAGCAAAGCTCAAGAAGGTTGGCAAGGTGAGGATGCAGAAGGCGCTTGCACACGTCGGCTCTCCAAGTGGTTTGGACCTTAACGCCCTCATCATTCCTAACAGTGGGATCTCCTTCTCTGGAGTCTTTAAGCAGAGGCTGGATGGCCATCTGTCTGGATGGCTTGGATTGTGCCTTCCTTTATTCAACAGTGGAATCAACTGCTTCAGAATCTAGTCACATCTCCTTCTTGGGATGCTTTTAAGCCTGGATGACCATCTGTTGGGATAGCTTGGATGGTGTCTTCCTTTACTGGAGAAGGGGGTTGGACTGGATGGTCTTTAGAGATCCCTTCAGACACTGCATGGCCATCTGTTGGGATTGCTTGGATGGTGTCTTCCTTTACTGGAGAAGGGGGTTGGACTGGACGGTCTTCAGAGATCCCTGAAGACATTGTATGGCCATCTGTTGAGATTGCTTGCATGGTGTATTTCTTTATGGCAGAAGGGGGTTGGACTGGATGGCCTTTAGAGGTCCCTGCAGACATTGTATGGCCATCTGTTGGGATTGCTTGGATGGTGTCTTTCTTTACTGGAGAAGGGGGTTGGACTGGATGGTCTTTAGAGATCCCTTCAGACACTGCATGGCCATCTGTTGGGATTGCTTGGATGGTGTCTTCCTTTACTGGAGAAGGGGGTTGGACTGGACGGTCTTCAGAGATCCCTGAAGACATTGTATGGCCATCTGTTGAGATTGCTTGCATGGTGTATTTCTTTATGGCAGAAGGGGGTTGGACTGGATGGCCTTTAGAGGTCCCTGCAGACATTGTATGGCCATCTGTTGGGATTGCTTGGATGGTGTCTTTCTTTATGGCAGAAGGGGGTTGGACTGGATGGTCTTTAGAGATCCCTTCAGACACTGTATGGCCATCTGTTGGGATTGCTTGGATGGTGTCTTCCTTTACTGCAGAAGGGGGTTGGACTGGACGGCCTTTAGAGATCCCTGAAGACATTGTACGGCCATCTGTTGAGATTGCTTGCATGGTGTCTTTCTTTATGGCAGAAGGGGGTTGGACTGGATGGCCTTTAGAGGTCCCTGCAGACATTGTATGGCCATCTGTTGGGATTGCTTGGATGGTGTCTTCCTTTATGGGAGAGTTGGACTGGATGGCCTTTAGATATCCCTTCCAATTATAGGCTTCTAGGATTTCATCTTTGGGGCTGTTTAAACAGACGCTGTATGGCCTTCTGTTGGGAGGGTTTGGTTGGTGTCTTCCTTTATGGCAGAAGTGGGTTGGACTGGATGGCCTCTAGAGATCCCTCCCAACTATAACCTTCTAGGATTCAGTGCTGAAACTTTCATCTCTGGTCCTCCCCATGCTGGAGCACTTGGCTTCCCATAATCTCGTCATCGAGGTGGGGATTATGGGAATTGGAGTCCATCTATTTCCAAAAGGTCAACACTTGGTGCAAATTCGAGTGCCATTTGCCCTAATAACCTTTCCCCCCTCTTTTTCCGCAGGAGGAGGGACCAAAAGCGGCCCCCGCCGGAGCCCCCGCTCCAACCTCTTCAGGAGGGGGCGGCCTCATGCAGGAAATGAGCGCCATGTTGGCACGACGGTGAGTGCACCAAATCATGCACACATACACATATATGTAGAAACCATAAACATTTGGAAACATTGACAAAATCATAATCTGTCATCTGCAAAAGGCCACCTGACTTGGATCTGTGCACATCATTCGAAAATACATCAAAAGGGAAGTATTTGACTTGTGATTTTGTGATACGAAATCCATCATATAGATCTCATTTGCTGTGACATGCTGTGACATACTAAAATAATAATGATGCTATTTCCGCTTCTCCTCCATCTAGGAGGAAAGTTGCAGAACAGACGGAAAAATCCGTTCCAAAGAAAGAAGACGGCCTCACACAGGTAGGAATTCAATGCGGACCTAGCGTCTTTTTTCTTTTTTGGAGCAATAGGTCAGCAGTTCTCAACCTGGGGATCGCGACCCCTGGTGGGGTCATTCGGCCATTTTCGGGGGGTCGCGAAGCTGCCTTGGCTGCTGACCCCCTGAGCCAGCCACATGGCACTCCTGGCAGGCTCCTCCTCCTGCTCTTCTCACCTACCTGTGGGTAGTCAAGAGGAGGAGCTTTGGAGGCAAAGGCACGGGGGAAGAAGACTCTCCTCTGTTCAGGCCTGTGAGTAAACTTCTTCCTGCCGTCCACAATGCCTGGCCATCCGTGGAGCCTTCACCAGCCGGCCTTTGCCTCCATCCAAGCTCAGAAGGGGGTGGGGTCGGACGGAGGGAGTTCTCTGATCCTACAACAACCCAATTACAACATTCACACTTGCCAGCAAACAAGAGTTCTTTCTTTCTCCCACCCTGGACATCATTCCACAGATATATAAACCTCACTTGCCTAGTTTCCAACAGACCTCACAACCTTTGAGGATGCTGGCCATAGATATGGGCAAAAGTTCAAAGAGTTGGAAGAATGGGCCATCCAGTCCAACCCCATTCTGCCAAGAAGCAGGAATATTGCATTCAAATCACCCCTGACAGATGGCCATCCAGCCCTCTTTAAAAGCTTCCAAAGAAGGAGCCTCCACCACACTCCGGGGCAGAGAGTTCCACTGCTGAACGGCTCTCACAGTCAGGAAGTTCTTCCTCATGTTCAGATGGAATCTCCTCTCTTGTGGTTTGAAGCCATTGTTCCCCGTCCTAGTCTCCAAGGAAGCAGAAAACAAGCTTGCTCCCTCCTCCCTGTGGTTTCCTCTCACATATTTATACATGGTTATCATGTCTCCTCTCAGCCTTCTCTTCTGCAACCTAAACATGCCCAGCTCCTTAAGCCGCTCCTCATAGGGCTTGTTCTCCAGACCTTGATCATTTTAGTCGCCCTCCTCTGGACACATTCCAGCTTGTCAATATCTCTCTTGAATTGTGGTGCCCAGAATTGGACACAATATTCCAGGTGTGGTCTAACCAAAGCAGAATAGAGCATGGGGAGCATGACTTCCCTGGATCTAGACACTATGCTCCTATTGATGCAGGCCAAAATCCCATTGGCTTTTTTTGCCACATCACATTGTTGGCTCATGTTTAACTTGTTGTCCACGAGGACTCCAAGATCTTTTTCACACGTACTGCTCTCGAGCGAGGCATCATTGTCCCCCATTCTGTATCTTTGCATTTCGTTTTTCCTGCCAAAGTGGAGTATCTTGCATTTGTCACTGTTGAACTTCATTTTGTGAGTTTTGGCCCATCTCTCTAATCTGTCAAGATGGTTTTGAATCCTGCTCCTGTCCTCTGGAGTATTGGCTATCCCTCCCAATTTGGTGTCGTCTGCAAACTTGATGATCCTGCCTTCTAGCCCTTCATCCAAGTCATTATTAATAAAGAATGATCGCTTCTTTTTGCTTTGGCTTTACGGTGATAACAAGTCTAGCATCTCCAATTTCAGCACTAGTTCCCCCTTTGTTGGTATCTATCTTTTTAATTGTTTTTATTGTGGTTATATAGATTACATTTGTTGGTGTTTATTTATTGTGTCAGGAGCAAGCAGACATTTGTATTTACATTTTTAACAAAACAAACAAACAGACAAAACACAAATTTTGCAAGCTTGGTAGTTGATTAAATGTCCTTTGACCAGTATCTGGCCACTTGGAGTGCCTCTGGTGTTGCCGCAAGGAGATCCTCCCTTGTGCATGTGGCAGGGCTCAGGTTGCATTGCAGCAGGTGGTCAGTGGTTTGCTCCTCTCCACACTCACATGTCGAGATTCCACTTTGTGGCCCCATTTCTTGAGGTTGGCTCTGCATCTCGTGGTGCCAGAGCGCACTCTGTTCAGCGCCTTCCAAGTCGCCCAGTCTTCTGTGTGCCCAGGGGGGAGTCTCTCATTTGGTATCAGCCATTGGTTGAGGTTCTGGGTTTGAGCCTGCCACTTTTGGATTCTCGCTTGCTGAGGTGTTCCAGCGAGTGTCTCTGTAGATCTTAGAAAACTATTTCTTGATTTAAGTCGTTGACGTGCTGGCTGATACCCAAACAAGGGATGAGCTGGAGATGTCTCTGCCTTGGTCCTTTCACTCTTGGCTGCTACTTCCCGGCGGATGTCAGGTGGTGCAATACCGGCTAAGCAGTGTAATTTCTCCAGTGGTGTAGGGCGCAGACACCCCGTGATAATGTGGCATGTCTCATTAAGAGCCACATCCACTGTTTTAGTGTGATGAGATGTGTTCCACACTGGGCATGCGTACTCAGCAGCAGAGTAGCACAGCGCAAGGGCAGATGTCTTCACTGTGTCTGGTTGTGATCCCCAGGTTGTGCCAGTCAGCTTTCGTATGATATTGTTTCTAGCACCCACTTTTTGCTTGATGTTCAGGCAGTGCTTCTTGTAGGTCAGAGCACGGTCCAGAGTGACTCCCAGGGATTTGGACGTGCTGCAATGCTCCAGTGGGATTCCTTCCCAGGTAATAATCCTCAGAGCTCGGGATGCTTGTCTGTTCTTAAGGTGAAAGGCACATGTCTGTGTTTTAGATGGATTAGGGATCAGCTGGTTTTCCCTGTAATAGGCAGTAAGAGCACCTAGAGCTTCGGAGAGCTTCTGTTCTACCATCTCAAAGCTCCCTGCTTGAGCAGTAATGGCACTGATCATCAGCGTAGATGAAGCTCTCTGTCCCTTCTGGCAGTGGCTGGTCATTTGTGTAGATGTTGAACATGGATGGAGCAAGCACGCTCCCCTGAGGCAGGCCGTTCTTCTGTTTCAGCCATCTGCTTCTCTGGCCCTGGAACTCAACAAAAAAGCTCCTGTTTTGTAGCAGGTTTCCTATGAGGCGGTTGAGGTGGTAGTCCTCTGTGATAATACATTTTTCTCAGGAGGAGGCGATGGTTCACAGTATCATAGGCCACTGACAGGTCTATGAAGACAGCTCCTGTGATCTGCTGCCTTTCAAAGCCATCTTCTATGTGCTGAGTCAGGTTCAGCACTTGCGATGTGCAGCTTTTGCCTTTCCTGAAGCCAGCTTGCTGTGGAATCAGACAGGGGTCTATTTTTTCATAATTCTTTGTTGGTGAAAAAGGGAGGAATCTCAGGGTGAGAGCATTGCCTTGCAAGTGCAAGTCTGCAAGAGCCTTTGCAGTGCAGACTTTTTCCTTTTTCCAAAGTCTTTTCCACACTACATGTTTCTAGCGCTATGATTCCTATTTACCTGCCACCATTCCATCCCATGGAATCCAAACTACAAATCCCAAGACTATATAGAATGGAACCGTAACTGTGTTATAATACTGTGGGAAATACTCTAATTTTGCTTTGCAGCTGCTGCAGAAATGGAGAATGCATGGGCTCTGGAGGAGGATGAGTTGGGTGGATTTTGCAATGTCTTGGTATATTGCAATCCAATGTTATTCTCTCTCTTTTTGCTTCTGCAGCAAGATGACGCAGAAGCTGGTGGCAAGACCACAGGTAAGAAAAAATAAAATAAAGTGATGCTTTACATGCTGTGAAATAATCAGAGTTATAGTTTGCAGTGTGTGGCACAGAAAGACCTTGCAAAACTACAACTCCCAGGGTTTCAATGCATTGAGCCCTGGTGGTTAAAGTGGCACTGAACTGCATTCATTCTGCAGTGTGGATGCACCATGAGCCTGACTTAATTGGATGTATTGGTGTTATTAAGTCCCTATTATTATTATTATTATTATTATTATTATTATTATTATTATTATATAGTATTATTAAGTCCCTATTAAAAATGGTTGCAGCAGGAAATGACTTTCGGATCATCAAATCGGCAAAGTTTAAATCCACAATCCCTCCCTTTCCCCATAATTACAACGACAACAACAAGAACAACAACAAGGGGTTTGAGAAGAAAAACACGATGCCCTGGCAGAATATGTCAAGGAAAGCAAGAACCTGCTTTAATTGAAGTCCATAATCGGAAACTTCTCAAAGCACAGCAGACAAAGAGTCAGTACAAGAAAACTGCACTCCAAACCAGAGCTGACAGCTGGCACAACAAAGCATTGCATAGGCAGGACTCTTACAAGTCAAACAAGCAGTCGAAGAAGAACAACACGATGCCCTGGCAGAATATGTCAAGGAAAGCAAGAACCTGCTTTAATTGAAGTCCATAATCGGAAACTTCTCAAAGCACAGCAGACAAAGAGTCAGTACAAGAAAACTGCACTCCAAACCAGAGCTGACAGCCGGCACAACAAAGCATTGCATAGGCAGGACTCTTACAAGTCAAACAAGCAGTCGAAGAAGAACAACACGATGCCCTGGCGGAATATGTCAAGGAAAGCAAGAACCTGCTTTAATTGAAGTCCATAATCGGAAACTTCTCAAAGCACAGCAGACAACGAGTCAGTACAAGAAAACTGCACTCCAAACCGGAGCTGACAGCTGGCACAACAAAGCATTGCATAGGCAGGACTCTTACAAGTCAAACAAGCAGTCGAAGAAGAACAACACGATGCCCTGGCAGAATATGTCAAGGAAAGCAAGAACCTGCTTTAATTGAAGTCCATAATCGGAAACTTCTCAAAGCACAGCAGACAAAGAGTCAGTACAAGAAAACTGCACTCCAAACCAGAGCTGACAGCTGGCACAACAAAGCATTGCATAGGCAGGACTCTTACAAGTCAAACAAGCAGTCGAAGAAGAACAACACGATGCCCTGGCAGAATATGTCAAGGAAAGCAAGAACCTGCTTTAATTGAAGTCCATAATCGGAAACTTCTCAAAGCACAGCAGACAAAGAGTCAGTACAAGAAAACTGCACTCCAAACCAGAGCTGACAGCTGGCACAACAAAGCCTTACATGGGCAGTTCCTTGAGAAGATTGAAGGAAAAGTTGACAAGGAGAAGACCTGGTTATGGCTCACGGATGGAACCCTGAAGAAGGAGACAGAAGAAGGCCTGGTTCTTGCAGCCCAGGAGCAAGCCATCAGGACAAAGGCCATTCAGGCCAGGATTGGAAAATCAGCTCATGACCTAAAATGAACACTGTGCAAGGAAGCTGAGGAAACCATGGACCATCTCCTCAGCTGCTGCAAGAAAACCGCAGACGGACTACAAACAGAGGCACAATGCTGTGGCCCAGATGATTCACTGGAACTTATGTCACAAGGACCACCTGCCAGCAGCAAAGAATTGGTGGGATCATAAACCCACAAAGGTCGTGGAAAATCAACATGCAAAAATCCTGTGGGACTTTCGAATCTAGACTGACAAAGTTTTGGAACACAACACACCAGACATCACGATTGTGGAAAAGAAAAAAGTTTGGATGATTGATGTCGCCATTCCAGGTGAGAGGCGCATTGAGGAAAAACAACAGGAAAAATTCAGCCGCTATCAAGACCTCAAAATCGAACGGCAAAGGCTCTGGCATCAACCAGTCCAGGTGGTCCCAGTGGAAATAATGGGCAGACTGGGTGCCGTGCCAAAAGATCTCAGCTGGCATTTGGAAACAATAAACATCGACAAAATCACGATCTGTCAACTGCAAAAGGCCACCTGACTTGGATCTGCGCGCATCATTTGGAAATTCATCACACAGTCCTAGACGCTTGGGAAGGGTTCGACTTGTGATTTTGTGATACGGAATCCAGCAGAGAGATCTCGTTTGCTGTGACATACGGTGCTTTTGTGTCAATAATAATAATAATAATAATAATAATAATAATAATAATAATAATAATAACATCCTAGATGCTTGGGAAGTGTTCGACTTGTGATTTTGTGATACGAAATCCAGCATAGAGATCTCGTTTGCTGTGATATA